TTCACTACAGAGGAATAAACTATCTTGTTTAGGTACTTCAAAATCATCATCGAAACCTGCAAACGAAATCCACCCACCCACATTGTTAATTAACCAGGTCTTAATTATCCTAATTAAATCTGCAGACGGAAACACAGATATGTTTGTGGTTTCTTGTTTCCAAAAGGAGAAAAAAAATCAACCTAATTAGATATCTCATTTCCCTCTCATCTACCAATGCGTTAATGTTGTTCGATTTCTCAATTTTTTTTGCCACTAAGAGCTTATTACTCCAATTATGCAAATTAAACAATGCAACCCTGGGGTACCACACTCCTCTCCCGCTATAATTTGAACTCTCATCAACTGGTTTTACTCAAATCACTCAAATGTCCTCCTAACAGCAGTTTTACACAAATTAACTTCGCACACAATTATGGACTACTGACCAATCAGATAGTGTCCTTGAAGGAGAGTTTCCACTGTATGTTGGGGGCTTGATGTTTCGTTATGCTATGTCAACAATATTGATCAAAAATTACGCACAAATCATGAAAATATGGTATACCGAAAGGGGAGTCAAAATGCGACAAGAAATATAAATGTGGTTCTTTTTCTTTTCGCAGTGGAAAGTGTGAAATGGACTGTCGAGATAAAAAGAGGATTTTTAGTATATCCACGTCTCTTTCCATAAAGAACTTGAACAAGCAAATTACCTCACGCATTAACTATTAAAAGGGCTAATTAAGTGGTATTTCTTTTTCCAATTCGAAATAGTTCACTTCTTCCGCATAGTGGTTTTCTTTTACCTGATATTATTTTTTTGCAAAAAGTGAAATAGTTGTATGTTTGCGTGTCTAAAATAACTTGTTTTCGTTATCGTAACATGGTGTTTTCAGGTAATACGATATGTACTTGATGAATAGGGCGGGGAGAAACGACGTGGAATATGAAAGAAGTTGAAAGAAACGAAGTTATCCTGAAGAAGAAGAAGAAGGATAAACAGCAAAAGTGTTTGATTATGCCGACTAGAATAATTTCTGACATCTGTAATGTTCTAACTAGAAAGCTGGAGTTTCCCCCAAATCGTCTTATGAATCAATGTTTCAGAATAAATGCTTCACTTTCATTATGAACCTTGGGGGGGGGGGGTCGTATTTTTATTAACTGGTCCAGGAAATGTGCTAATTTTTTTTCTGAAGTAGTCTCGTCCAATTCCTTTAGCAAGAAAATGAACCCAACGGTTGAATGCGAAAGGTTTCCAATATTGCATTCAAAGAGAAGTTGGTGATATTACGTTCGAATTAACGGTCTTGATCCCGTCCCTAGCCATTTGTACGCTAAAAAGACTTCATATGTCCTACTCTCTATGAAATACGCGCTGAAGATTTGATCACCTATGTTTATCCATTGAGCACATGTCCTGAGCTCTCCAATCTTCCTGCACTTCGAAAATCATTATCGAATTTCTACCGCCTCTGTCTGATTTTCGAGGTCGTTGTCAAATTGATGCTTGTTTTCAAAGCATTGAAATGATTGGAGAAAGTGGTAAATTGAATGTGAGGTACTTCGTAATGAATGTGACTTAATTATACTAAACAATTAGCAATGAATTGCTAAAACTCTCTTCGAATGACCTCCCTCCTCGTAAAACTCTATTTTTGAATGCCAATTCTGTAGGGAATTCGCACTTTTCGAGTTTGTGTGGCTAGCGCGGAGATGTAAAAGCAATGTGTCTAATGGAGCCTGATTCCAAAACGAGGTTTCTCATTTGTGCCTCAAAAATGTTTCCTATTTCGCAGAGTCAGGAGGCAACTTTCATTTTCATAATTATTGATTAATTGGGATAGACCGTGATGGACAATGATTCTTTTTAGCTTTCCAGGCCCTTAGAAAGTGCAAATTCTCTCTTATGGGAAGTGTAAAGTTCCGATATGACAGAGTATGTTAACTTCATAGTCATCGATTTGAGAAATTCACCAGACAAGTCACGTGTTTAAAGTCAAATGTGATCTATGCGCTAGGTTTTAGTGAGCAATTGTCATTTGCTCCAAACTTCGCAAAGATTGTTAAATTATTGTTGCTCAGTGGTAATTGTCTCATTTGATGTGTATTGATTAATGCTCTCTGATATCTTCTAAACCCTCATCGTGGATTTTCCATTTCACATTTTATACAAAAAAAATTGAATCCTCATTAAAGTCTAGTCATGGTTGACTGAACTGTCAAAGTGATAACAGCACAATCCCTCGTCCCCCCAAGGGAGACAAAAATGAGGCTACAAAAGTTGTACTCTAATGAGCAGTTGAATTTGATAGGCTCTAGCGGTTGCTTTGTTTGAGACTGGTTTGAGGCTTTTTTATGCAATTTTTCAGTTCCTTGAAGACATGCGCATTGTAGTGGCGCCCTCTGGGCAGAAATTCGTCAACCACTGTCTCTAGTTGACAATTTTTTTCATAGTATCCGACAGCACTCGGCGAAAATCGGCTTTCGCATTTTTTTGCCCCAAAAAATGCACGTTGATCACATTTTTATTTCAAAGCCAAAATTTTAGGCGCGTTCATTTTAGACTTTCGTTTGAGCTGGAAGTAGAGAAGTGTACTGCTAAAACGCTTTTTTTTGTGCTTCGGGTTCACTCTAATACGCGCATACAACAACAACACAAGATTAAGCATTTTCAATTGTGTGTGTGTGTGAGATAGGTGTCAATTCCATGACATCTGAAGACTATTGCATAATGACAACTTTTCTTGCAAGGAGAGTAGCCTCACTGGAATTCTCCTAATTTCCAAACCTAAAGCAAGAAGGATTGATTAGTTACGTGGACAGCGAGAGTTGGTAGGAGAAAATGTATAAGTGGGATTTATAAATGGTCTTCGATCGCCTTTCAAATTGGCGTCCAACCAATTCCCCCCCCCCCCTCCCCCCTTCATCCTTTACACCTACAAACTGTCATGTGTTGGTGGAATTTTCATAAGCTCTGTCTAGAACAGTTGATGGTAGTTGTTATAGTCTTTGCGATAAATCGTAGAAATTGATATTAGCACGTGGAACAGCTTTACAAATTAATGAAATTGGTCATACCGTTTACTTTGGCGAAGGTGGTCTTTGTAAGTTGCTTCTACTCACTTGCCAACTTTGGCATTTGAAGAGCAAATACATTTTATTAATTGTATATCTAGTTGTGGTGTTCTCAGTGCACTCCTAACGCCTCTCTTTTGTATACAACGCTGTTGACGGCGGTGACTCCCTTTAATAGCAAGGATTGGGGGGGGGGGTATTACTTCGCCTCTCTCCCTGTTGCCTATTAGTCACGAATCTTTCATTTTGCAATACTAAGAATTTTGAATCACCACATTGCTGAAGTATGTATAACGCACGCGTTAAAGCTGGAATTAAGGATAAGTGATTTATGTTTGTAAAACATTATCATTTCTGGCCAGTGTACAAGGCGCTGGATAGTTTATTTATTCCCTGAACAATTGATTTGGGTGTTTTCTTTTCGACGCTTATGATTTCTTTTTTTACATTGCTCAAACAAGCATTTCCGCGTTCACACCGTGGAATCATCCAGAACCTTCCATTTATTCTACCCCCAACGGTGTAGAGGCCAGCATTTGTCCTTTATTTAATAACAATATAACCAGAACAAGACTTGAAATTGCGTGGCTGTGATATTTAAGGCAACAATGTTTTCTGTGGGGGGGGGGTTTACAAACACGACAATTCGAGCCGATCAATGAAACATTCCAGACTACTGCATTAAATTTCACAGCTTCCTCCGGCTCATTTTTTTGGAGCAGGTCTTATAGATCTCGGCAATCTGATAACGCAGAACAAAGTGGGTGGCTGTGTGCCCCTCTCCCTCCTATTTAGTTAGTCCTTGTAAATATAAAATCACAATTTTCTGAACACCCCAGTGTATACAAGTGTTCATATATTTAACGGAGCGGCGGTTTACTGAGAGAGTAATAGCGATTCTAGCTCCTTGAGTATTCAACGGTGTATACTCCCTGTTCTCCCCACCCCACTCCGCCCTCTCCTGAGACTTGAATGCTCTTTAAGATCATTTTATTATGCATCATGAATTTTGGCAATTTCTACTGGTAAAGGAACGTAAATGTCAATGTTCATTTAGAAGGAAGAGGAGGAGGAGTTGAAAGAGAATTGAAAATAAACGAAATAACTGGGGGGGGGGGGGACATTTGCATTGATATATTTTTACAATAGCTTAAAATAGTAGTTTTTCTGAGGAATATTTCGCTTATATGAAAGGTAACTTGTGAGCTTTGGGGCAGTAAAATTCCGTGGGTAGTGGTTTCATTAAAATTCTAACAATGTGTGAATGTAAAGTGTGCTTTTATTAAGACAAGAGTGAGCTCAAAAAGTGAAAAGACCATTAAATTACCCCCCACCCCCATTAATCGCTCCATCCATGCGGTGGAGCCACCTTTAAGGATCCTTTCCCTTGTAAATATATTCAAATCCCTATCTTTATAGTCAATACCTAATGGATAATAAATTACGTATGAACAGCCTTGTACACTATTATAGGCGTAAAAATTTCATTTATTTCACCACTATAAGTTGCTGGAAGTTTCGTACTATTATCTTTACCCCCCAAGTGTGTTCTCTATGTCCCAGTGTCATTTCTTTGTCTGCAATTAATTCTATGAACATGTCCAGAGGTGGCTGAATAAATTTTGGTCAGAATACTTGTTGCGCGATTGGTACTATTGCATTATGAGGGGCTATCCACAGGGTGACGTTCAATTAGAATTTTATTATTTCAAAAGCGTAAAATTACTTTTCAGGTTTGATTGCATTGTTTTTCATTGTTTTATTCTCAAACTGACCTCCATTTTGATCCAGACACTGTTGACAACACCAAGCATATCGGGAAATAATTCCCTTGGGATTTGGACGCATTTATGCTCAATTGTTTCTCTTAATTCAATGACCTAACTTAGCGATGGTAATGTGGGGGATGCTCCATCTTGCCGAAACTTTATTTATTTCAAATGTCAGGCTTTGTGATATTTATCATTAGGCCTTTAACTTTGACTTCAGCTTCCCCCAAGGGTGGGGGTACATTTATAGCAGTTAATTAATGGCAATTCATTAGCTGTCTTCTTGCTTCATATCTTTGGCTTTCCGTCCTTGTCTTTAGAGCTGGACACCAAATCAGGTGGGTCTTCTCCATTTCCTCCTGTAGGTTACATTCTTGGCTTTCCGTCCTTGTCTTTAGAGCTGGACACCGAATCAGGTGTCCATTTCCTCCTGTAGGTTACATAGGGGGCATGTGGGTTTCTTGTCTCTAGGGCTGGACACCGAATCAGGTGGGTCTTCTCCGTTCCTTCGTTGTCTTTAGAGCTGGACACCGAATCAGGTGGGTCATCACCATTTCCTCCGCTAGACACCGAATCAGGTGGGTCTTCTCCATTTCCTCCTTTGAACACCGAATCAGGTGGGTCTTCTCCATTTCCTCCTGTATACCAGTATCTTTGGCTTTCCGTACTTGTCTTTAGGGCTGGACATCGAATCAGGTGGGTCTTCTCCATTTCCTCCTCTGGTGAACACCGAATCAGGTGGGTCTTCTCCATTTCCTCCTGTATGCGAATCAGATGGGTCTTCTCCATTTCCTCCTGTAGGTTTCACAGAGGGCATGTGGGTTGAGTGCGCTAGACACCGAATCAGGTGGGTCTTCTCCATTTCCTCCTTTGAACACCGAATCAGGTGGGTCTTCTCCATTTTCTCCTGTAGAGAATCAGATGGGTCTTCTCCATTTCCTCCTGTAGGTTTCACATCAGGTGGGTCTTCTCCATTTCCTCCTGTAGGTTACAGATCAGATGGGTCTTCTCCATTTCCTCATGTAGGTTACATATGGTGGGTCTTCTCCGTTTCCTCCTGTAGGTCACATAGACAGGTGGGACTTCTCCATTTCCTCCTGTAGGTTACATAGAGTATATGTGGGTTGAGTGTATACTCTCAATCTGTGAAGGTGTTTTGATGGTTGAGTCGTGTCCGGTACGTAGTCAAAACTCAGCAACGGCTTCGACACTTGGCCAGTCGGCTATGTCGTAGAGTGCCACTGTCCACTGTTTCTCCTCTGTTCGAGCTTTAAGTTCGTTGCACCTTGAGGCTTGGAATTCTCTCCTGATTAAGACCTTCATTGTGTGGAAAGACATCGGGTGGTCCATGCATTGCAAAATCGTTGTCTCCTTCTTAGCAAGTGTGTCAGCAAGCTCAATGCCTTTAATGCCACAGTGACCAGGAATCCATTGTAGGACCACTGTTTTGTTTTTCTCTCAGCAGCTGATACAGTTTTCTAAAATATAACTGAAAATATAACTCTTCATTTTCAAAGTCTACTCCAATGCTGCAGAAAGTTTAAGAAAGGGGAATCGGTTACAGTACACTTATTTTAAGTGTGCATACAATTTTTTGGAACACTCTGTATTTGCTTAGCCACGGATATGTGGAGTTGATTGATTAGTTAGACTTTGATACGGCAGTGAAAGAAGCTTTCAGTTTCAGTCATTTGTGTGGAGAAGGAGAAATGCAGTGCTAATGCTTCCTGTTGAAGACTTCAAACGTATTAAATTCTGCTTCTTGTCATGTAGATTTCGGTTCAAGGAAGCATTATATCTTGAAATGAGGAACAGTCTTGTTATTCTCCCATAGAATAGCAACTACGCGTATCACATTTAGGAATCTTACGAAATACCCTCTAGTTGTCCTAGAATTGGTTTAACTAGTGTTCATTTGCCAACCCTCTAGAAGAAGGCCAATAATTTAGAGTATTTTCGCATTTGGGGGAATCTTAATCGTCCTAATCTCCTACCCATTGATTCACGTATTTTCTCAATGCTAAATCATTAACGCTCAGTAAACTTTTCCTAGCCCAAAAGCGTTTTGTGAAGTAAAAACTGGATTTTTTTAAAATTTCAATTCTATGTTTGTTTTCCTTTCAACACATGGAGACACACAGAGGGAGATGGTTTGCTGAATCCTCTCGAGGGGGCTGCGTGATATATACACTAATTAGGGAAATTATTAATGGGGAATTAGGGTTCCATGTTGTGTTGGTGCATGCTTTTTTTCAATGCATGATTCCAGTCTATGCTCATGTTCCTTTTAGTGTTTGCGGTCAGGTATGATACAACGAGTTCAAGACCCACTACAGTTGTACACGCTTTTTTTATATAACAGTGATCCTAATGTGTGTGTGTGTATGTGTGAGCGCATAGTTGCCCTTATCACAAATATTCATTCATGAGAAGACATTGATGAATTGGCTAAGGAATGTGTCCTTGACATTTATGCGAAGAACTACAGAATCTACTCAACTATATGCAAACCACCGCTTAAACGTGGTGTATTTACTCTTATATCTTGTCCCTAGCTAAATGAACACTGAGAAGAGCTTTCATTTCACTGGGATTGGACTTCTTTATGATTGATTAAAGTTTTGCTAGATTCAGCAAAAATGTCGGTCTTTCTCAAATAGGCTTCCAAGCATGCACTAAAGACATATCGGAGTAGTTTATTCCCTAGCGCAAATAATTGTAAGCTCACATATGTGCCTTAAAATTTCCCGAGGGTTCAATTAGATACCCCATTAAACAATGCCCCCTCCCCCAAACTATCTGCACGTAACTCGCTGGGAGATTCTAATTGAAAAGGTGAAATTGACTTTTTGTTTGCCTTTCTTCAATGGTGCACAACTGTTACCCAACTAACTGCCTCCTTGTTAATTTGCATGTAATTTACTAATTTTAAGTTTCACTCATGGAGTAATTAGCGCAAAAATGTCAAGCCTCTGCGCGTCCCTTTATGAACTTCCTGTTATTCAAATGGTCAACTTGATTATGAATAGGCTGATCAAGGGTATCAGAGTTCTTAACTTAACCTTGAACAAAATTGCTTCCATTTTCCTTGAAGCTTCAATGTCACTTTTCAAGTATTGGGTAGTCAAACTCATATATTTGTTGGTTGTGTAGAATAATATATTAATATGAGTCTTTAACTTTCGGGATTATTTCTCCGTGGAGATCATGATTTCATTTATTTGCGCTTATCTTTCAGGGACGGACAGTGAATTCCAGTTCAGGCCAGTCAACATCAGTATTCAACACTTCGGGGTCAAATTCCAGCCGAGTGAACGCTGAATTGACCTCAACTACATCTACTGCACCCACACCATCTCGACCGGCAAACGGACCTACAAAAGCCAGTCCTAAACGTCCACCAGCTAATTCACAACTCTCAACCAACATGGATGCTAAAGTCACCAATGAGTTGATGCATCTTCGTTCAGTGATTCAAGAGAAGGAGAGACGATTAGATGAGCTCTACTCAGAAATCGACAAACTCAGCTCTGTTCTACAGCAACACATCACAGAATGTGATACGTGGAAAAAGGTGAATCTTGGTTTCCAAAACCACTTAATTAACATAGTTCAGTGGAATTCTACCAGCAGTACATCTATAACCCCAGAACACATTTTTTTCAATAATTTTGGTAAAAGGATGAGTAATAATATCGAATTCGTACTAACCATCCAAAGTGCATTTAGGTTTCTTTCTCAAAGCCATGCCAGCTATATGACTTTTTTTCAATTTATCACTTAATCCTTAATGAAAGTATTAGATATCGTTTCTTTGTGTGTATGTAATTAATTAGATTTAGCACTCATGCTGGTGAGTTTATCAGTAGACGATAATCACTTGGAAGTGAGCAAGTATGAGTAGATCAAATGTCAATTCTCAAAAATTCATGCATTTTTATTGTGCGACAATCCACTTAACTAAAAATTATCAATCATTATCAATCAGGCTGTTTATTTACGCCTGAAGTCGTCGAGTGCTTGTGCTAAGTGCAACTTCGTTTATCATCAAATTGCAACTAATGTACAAAGCTCTTTTTTACAATTCTCGCTCTCTAATGCACTACAGTTGGATAGATTAGGCCAATTTCGTTCAATTTACGCTAAAATTCCCTCTAATTAATTCAAACCATAAGTTGGTGGCAAGTTGGTTTACCCATGGGAACGTGATGGTTGAATGCCTATCTTCCACCAGTAAACAGTGTTTTGAACTGCGGAAACGTAAATCGACCACACGTTGAAAGGTTTTAATACATTTATTCATTTCAAATGGCAGGCGTTGTGTTAGTTACCATTATCCCTTTAGCTGACTTCGGGCTTCACAAAGAGGAGGAGGAACATCAAAGTAACAGAAAGTCGGGGTGTGGGGAGCAAAAGAGTGATTCACAGATGTAATAGAGACTCAAAGGCAGAGAAAATGTAAGATGAGTACTGTGGAAGTGGTGGAATACGACATACAGTGGGGTCATGGAAGTTTGAAGTCAGAAGTCAACTGCCGGTTTATAGACTTTTTTGCCGTATGAGTATACGTTGCCCAGGGTGCACGTTGAAAGTTACTTTAAAAATGGGTTTTAATCAATACCCTAATGTCAGAGCTGCTATCATGCAAAAAGAGGACTAAATAGATCAAAAACTGTTATTTGGAAGTTAGGAACAACGAAATTAAGTGAACAAAGGTTGCTCTCAGGCTTTAATTACGATTATGAGATTCTAGATTCGATCAATTTTCAATCGATTTCTTTTTATTTTTTAACTTACAAATGTTCTCTTTCCTATTGCTGCTAATTATAAAGAAGAAGAATGTTTTTTTAAATATTTTTAGCCATTATAACACGAGAGAAGGGTGAAAATAATTGAGTTGAAATAGGTGATGTAATCTAAAAAAACATACTTCATTTGAGTTCCGGATTC